TGAGGGGCCACGGTGCAGCCTGGCTCTGGAGTCTTGGTGTTCCCAGGCTGAGGGACATTTGGGTGGCACGGCTCTGGGATTGTGGGAACCAGCGGTCCTTGGGGGGGAGGCTGGCAGGGCTGCTTCACTTGCTGCTCCTGCAGTTGAGGGGGTGGGACAAAGGGCTGCTTCTGCTGGTAGGAACTCATGCTTCAGGGGAGGCTGGACCTGGAGGCAGAAGAGTGACTTAGTTTGGAGAAGCAAGGAAGAAGCTCAGTTTGATGGCAATGGCTCTCACTGGGCACCTCTTCATAAGGGAGAGTCTCCCTTTTCTCTCTCTCTGTTTCTGTGAATTTGAGATCAGAGGAGGCTTTATGGTCCCTGCACGCTTTCAAGGTCAAAGGTCAAAGTGACTGGCTGAGTCCCACGCGACTGGACCCTCCTCTGCTTCCCCTCTGCCTGGAGCATCCAGAAACCTCCACGTGACCCAGAAACTGAACTCAGACCACTCCACACAGAGCAGCTTCCTAGGATTGATGGAAGGCCCCAGGTTTTCAAAAGTCTGGAAAGATGTGGCATGTCCCCACCCATGTCCACCCTGCGGAGTGCCCTAGCTCTCCCAGGGAAGCTCTGTGGGGACCTCCCCTGGGCCTCCATGACCCCCCTGGGAGCCTCTGTCCACACCGTCCCCTGTGCGGTGGTTTCTGGAAGGCTTCCCACTGCCTGGCTGCTTGTCCCCGTGTCCTCCCCAGGCCTCTCCCCGAGTCCAGCTGGCCTTCCTCCTGTCCCCCAGCAGAGCCCTGTCCTCCCTCTTAGTGGGTACAGATTGTGCCGTGTGTCTGTTTTCTGAGGGATCATACACTCATGGGGTAAAGGAATGCTTTCCTTATGGATAGCCACATTGCCCATATAACACTTTCCATATTAAAAATCCTCAAAAATATGAGAGGAAGAATTAAAATTCACCCAAAGTGCCCTTGACATAGGCATAGCCTCCTGCTAACAAATCTTTACACAAATCACTCCCCTTGTCTGATCTTTAGCTCCACAGCTGGAATTTGAGTGGGAAGTTCAAAAAAAATTGTAAAGTCGCCCCAAACAATGTTGCCATCACTTTTAAAATAGACGAATCCTAACATGACAAGTAGATCCCAATAAACTTAAAGTACTGACAGGAGAATACTAAGAAGGTCCAACGCGAAGACTCACCTGGTGCGCAGGGAAGTTCAAGCTCTGTGGACTCTCAGGTCTGGCGTGTGGAGTCTCTGTTTGACTCGCTTTTTATACGGAAAACAAGCCCTATCCTAAGGAAGTAGGTTTTTTTTAAAACTGCTCTGTCTTCATTCCAGTTTAGTGATGGAGATCTCTGGATCAACTTTTTTTTCTTTTTTTCCAGCGCTTACCCTCTGACAATGATGTCACCTGGGCATGTCCCCATTGTCCATCTTTTGTGGTATGGTTGCTGTGGGCAACAGGCTTCTTGCGGGGTAACGTATTACAACGGAAGGGAGTTCTCGGTCTGCCAGGACCAGGAACAGTCATGCTTCTTGACCACAGCCCTCGTCTTTAGCCCAGATTAATCCTATTGGGCTTCTCCATGCTTGAAGTGGATGTGTGGATATTAATAGGCATTTCTGGTTCTTCAGGTAGGGCATGGGGTGGTGCAGAATAAGTGAATCATCTGGTTTTCAATCTCTCCGTGGTTCTAAGTCATCAATAAGAAATTAAAGGGCCAAATGTCTCTTTTGGAAATGAGTGATTTTCATTTTGGAGACCTTAAGATGCCATGTTGACCAGGGAGAGGAGAGGTGCCATTGGCAATGGGTGGTCAGGATTGATAGGCTCTTCCTGACGTGACGGCACAGACCTGAAGACCCTGCCTCTTATGGTGTCTTTCTTTCCTGGGATGACAAAGGAATAAAAAAGAGTTCTGGTTCTCTGAGTTTGAACAGAAGCCATTTCCTCTCCTCACAAAAGGAGGAATTTGAGGTCACTCACTCCCAGTTGCCCTGATACCCAGTCTCTTACTGGGTATGGTCCGCAGGAAGTCCAAACATCCTCCGAGCTCGGGTCTGTGGATAGTTTCTCCCTCCCACCACCGGACCGCAGTGTGACCTCCCATCAACCGGATACACTAGGTCTGGCCACCACCGTCCGCTCCTTCCACCTGTTCCCAAAGCCAGAAGTCATTCTTTGCCCTCAGCCTGCCTGGTCATGGTACGTAGTCAGCCTACGGACAGTTCTTATTTTTGCAAAATGGACTTGTAGGTCTATGAAGAATAGTGGAATCAGACAGAAAGGACGGAAGGAAGGAGAGGTGACTAGAAAGAGAATAAGAAAAGGAGAAGGAGAAAGAAGAAAAGCATGAGATGCAGACATACTAGGGAACTGTTGAGAACCTAGGGCTGCCTTTGAAAACGAGTCGCCATATTGGACGGGCCTCATAGTGCGAGCTGAGAAGAGTTCGTCAAGGAGCAGATGCCCCACTGCCTTCCCATCCCCTCCCTTCTCTGTTCGTGTCTGAGAAGCCACCCCCTGGAGGTGATGCCAGGGCCAATGTCACACTAAGCCACGTCTCTGAGATCACCCTGGCTTTTCTTTGGAGTGAGATTCAGGTTCTTTTTTTCTCTCCCAAACCACCTTCTTATAGCCCCAGATGCAGGGAACCCTGGTCATTCCCTGCTGTTCCACCAGGTTTCTTATCCACTGCTCCTGCTCCTCCGTCCTCCTTCATTGATCTGAGACCTTCCTGGGACCCTTGGTGGAGGGCACCATGTACCTCTCTAGCTGACCTCAGCTTGCCCCCATGTTCACCCTTGATTCCGAGCCTTGGTTCTAGAAGAAACTTTTCTTGTTTCCTGTGTCCCTTCCCTGGGTGAACACCCTCCTGCCCTTCCCTCTGGTGCCTCATTCACCCCAGCACAGCCTGGTGCCATCAGGGTCTGGAGCTCCTAACCTGGACCCACCCTGTCATTCCTGTCCGTTTGGTCAGGCACACTCAGTGGCTGGGTGTCAGACTCTTTCTGTCCTCCCAAGAAGCTCTGTTTTTCCTGAGCAGTGTTAGGTGTGCCCACGAATCTGGGCTCAGCTTCAGAGAGGGTAACCCGGCAGCTTCTGAAATGAAGTCCCACATCCCCTGGAACTTGGGTCTTCCCCACTGTCTCTCTTCTCTGGTGGAGGAGGCTGCTGTTTGTTTTTTTTTTTTTTCCCAATTTCATTTTCCTGGGACTTTCTTAGGACTTATTTGTGAATGGTACTGGATACCTCCTGGGCACTGTCCACAAATCTTTTGGACCTTGTTCTTGTACCTGTTGTAGCTAAATGATCTGTTCTCAAGTGCTGTGTACGGCTCTTCTCTTTCTTTGCAGACCCAAAGTCTTTCTGATGCCACAGTCTGTGGGAATCTTCAATGCACTGTGGATATGCAAGCTTGAAGTCCAAATCGGTTAACACCAGTGGCCATATTTTGCCTGTGGAAGATATTAACTAATAGATGCTGTTCCCCTCTTTCATTCCCAGGATAACCCTTGAATGACATAATTTTCCTGTTATCTTAGTTGGTTCTGAGCATCAAATTTCAGCTGCCTGGAGGATTGCAAGTTCAAAGCCAGCCTCAGCAACTTGGTGAAGCCCTAAGCAACTTAGACTCAGTCTCAAAATATAACAATAAAAAGGGCTGGGGATGTGGCTCAGAGACTAAGTGCCCCTGAGTTCAATCCCTGGTACCATAACGAACAACAAGAAAAATTTCCAGTTGCCCTCCTTGGTGGCTACCTACTTAGTCACCTATTCTTGACCAATTTTTTCTTTTGCTTGGTTTCTACCTTCCTTAATCCCACATTCCTCCTCCCTAAGATTATGTTCCCAAAACATAATCTGCACATAAATCTTTTTCTCATGCTCTGATTTGGAGGAATCCAGTCTGGTGTGTTCTGAAACACATGCTCTATTGAGATAAGAAAGAAAGAAAGAAAGAAAGAAAGAAAGAAAGAAAGAAAGAAAGAAAGAAAGAGAGAAACATAACTGCCTGGTGATGGGAAGGAGTGCTGAGGCCAAGGTCAATACAAACCCATGTATCTGGATTGTGGAGGACAGAGTCCTGCCCGTGGTTGAGCAATTGGAAATCTCAAACGGACCCTGTGGTTGTGTATTTATGTACACGCTCTGTTTCTCATTTATTCGGGGGAGTTTGTAGTCCTGGATTTGGCCAGGTAAACATAGTGCATCTTAACCCCATGATTGAGGGAGACACAGTGTACTGGTGGTCTCAGGGTCTGCGTTGTGCAGGAGCACCCTAGCCATGAGGATGTCTCAGTTGGTCAGTCCCTGGCTCTGGGGCTCCAGGTACCTGCCCTGGGGCTTTAAGGTCACCAACCCTGTCACCGTCAGCATCTTGTTGCAGTTGCTAGCTAAACCAGCCATCACTGTCCAGCAGGATTCTGCTCACCAGCAGACAGCTGACTTGCAACGATGAATAGTCTTCAAAAGGTGATGTGTGCACTAGAGTTCCATGTTCCCAAAGTTGAAGGTATTGTTGAGCATGTGATGACAAAGTGAATCATATCGATCACTTGAATTCTTCCTGTAAGGCTTGCTGTGATTTATAAAAATCACATAGAGATGAAATAACTTGTTGCAGTGTTTGCCAATACAGTTTGGTGCCACTGTCTTGGTTCTTGCTAAAGTCCCAGGGATTTACCCTTCCTTCATTTATATTGAACAATCTGTGCAGTATTAATAAAATGAAAAGACAAACTGCCTTCTTATTATTTTGTTATCAATTTTGACATCAGAGACTCCCTGATAGGCATCTTAAAGACCCCTGAAAATCTGCACATCCTACTTTGGGAACTGCCCATTTAGAATAACAACTTCCATGCGCCTAGATTTACAAAAGTATGGCGGTCTCTTCTTTGGGCCCAGTGACATTGGCCTTGGGGAAAGACAACATATGAAGCCTTGAGATGGGAAGGACCCACATCACAAACTACAACTTCACAAGTTACTATCAATAAAAATAGTCTTGCCAAGGTCGCTATACTTTGGAGAAGGGGCAAGTGGAAAGAACACTATATAGCTACTGAAGATTTGACAGATAAGATCAAATTACAAAAAAAAGAGCTCATTTTTTTTTAGCCATTTGCATATTCTATCCCTCACAGGTATCAAGAATTTGTCATTTTTTTTAAAGCAAGAAATCTGATATTTA